ATGAAGAAGATTGCCAGCTTCTTTCTCAAATGATCAATGAGTAAGTTTGTTTTTTTCATTTGAACGTTTATATTAGTATTTTAGCTTTTAACCCTTAACCTTGCTTTTAGCTGAATGCAGGATGGCCTGAAAAGAGTAATTCCACTATTTTCCAAAAACACATAGGAAAATTATTCAAGATAATAGCTGGTCTGCTTAAGCAAGCAATCATTTAAATGTATGGGAAGGTCTTGGTAGGAAACTTGTGGTTAGAGATGAATTGACCAAAACAACTTGCTTCATTTTCAGTTATGTATCAGATGAGTAGGGGCTGATATCATACAGTTTTATGTATCAGATTTTGGGGGCTGATACCAAGAGCCAATTTTTAGGGTGGCATATTGGCCGATACCAATCCAATTTCTGATACAGCATGGAGAGCTGCTTCTAGCTGGTAAGTCTGTTGTAGTGGGAGGGGAAGGGAAGGAAAGGGGTGTGGGAGGGCAGATCAAGGCCCCTACGATGAGGGAGGGAGTAGGGCAGGGGCTGGGGCAAGTGCTGCCCGAGCGGGGCATGAGACGGAGCTGTGGCAGGGGGGCTCCCACTGTTGTGTGCACCCTGGGAGGGCACACGGGAGGGTGGGAGGTCTGTGCCCCCAGATCTGCATGGGGCATGGGCAGGGTGGGCTGCAGCTGTGGGCTAGGGCTGGGGCTGCACCGTGCTGCACTTGGGGCGGGCAGCAGTGCTGGGAAGGGGCTATGGGGGGGCTTCAACCCCTCCAAATTCGCCGTAGCCTCCTCCCAGTGCCACCACCACTTGCCCTGAATGCAGCCTGGCCAAACCCCCTCCCTCCCCACCAACCTCCATGCACCAGAAAGAGCCTGGCACAGTCTCAGCCCCAACCTATAGCTGCAGCCCACCCTGCCTGTGTCTTGTGCAGATCTGGGGGCACACGTGCCCCCATGTCCTCCCAAGGTGCATGTAGCACCGGGAGCAACCTCCCTTCCCCGTGCGGGCCCCACTCCCCTGGACAAGCTATGACTGTCCTGCACCCCAGATGGGCAGCACTTGCCCCAGCCCTACTCCTCCCTCACTGCAGGGGCCTTGATCTGCCCCACAGTGCCCTTTCCCTCTCCCCTCCCCTTCCACCACACTAGACTTACCAGCTGCACACAGCTCTCCAAGATGCCAGGCTGTACTCCTTGCTGCCTATGTGCTGCACTGCAGCTGTGTGCACACACAGACATTTATCAGCCACATCAGGCCAACTTCCATAGTTTCTACGGTTGGAAGGGACCTGAGCAGATCATCGAGTCCGACCCC